ACCAAAACACAACAGCAATCTTGGATTATTTGCTGTTGCAAACACACATTTGAAGTCATGTCTCCGATGTTGCCAAACTTCGAACACTTCAGGGAAAAAGTCCAAAACCTCCTCATCCAGGGCTTCATCCTCGTTGCATCGATCACAAAGTACGAAAAGTATAGCTCGCGATGGACTCGATCGCCGGATCTCAGTCACCAGGACAGCTGCTTGGCCGCCCTTTTGGGGGGGAGGTCACTTGAGGGAAAACTGCCATATGCCATAGGTTCGCTACTAGGGGCTCCTGGCATCGCTACTAGAACCATCCTTACACACCCCATTGCCCATCAATGAAGGGCACCCAGAAAGTGACAAGGACCAAGGCGACTGGGTACCATTCATTGTGATTCCGTGTGGCATCTCAATGGTGGTACATCTTGGGCGCGACGTCTGGTTCAATGAGCCGGAATAAACTGGGATGATCTGGGATCCCATTCTGGTCAAGCGACTGATATCCAGGTTTGTTTCAGAAATCTGGCAGCCATGTACAGGTCGTATTATATAGCCATATCAAGTCATTGATTTGTTTGGGATAAAACGGCGTCCTTTGTTGGAACAACGTTGGAAGAAAGCCGTTAATAATCAGAACAGCTGTTGCCAAACTTTGTTGTCATGTTGTCATTGCCAGCAAGACTCTCTAAGAAGATCTGCCAGAAGCTTACTATCTGTCCGATCAGTTAGACTGCTCATAGGATCTGATCTGATCTGGTCTGTTCTGACCGACCAAAACACGAACACAGGACGATATTCCGGATAACCAATCTAGCGCCTCTAACCACTCACCTATAGCGCATTATAGCGCCTAAACCACCTGGTCTCTCCCTGTAGAACATCCCCATCACCGAAGCCCATCGCCCCATCTCGTCGCCTCACCCAGGCGGACTGGCCGCACCTCTCCGTGGGAGGGCCTTGCGAAACGGGGGAGAGGTGGGAGGGCCTTCCGCCGTGGAGACAAAGACATTCAAAGGATCCCAAGGACGCAGAGATCCGTGGGTCGAAGTTCGGTGGAGTGGAGAGGTTGACTTGCTTTGTTGGATTGAGTTAGTTGATATAAGTTCATAGTTGGGTTACGTTGGGTTTCGTTGTGATACGTTGGTTTGCTTGGGCTTGGCTGGCTTGGAGCTTGGTGGGTGCTCGGCATACCTCAAACCACCTTCGGTCTCTGGAGTTCAGTGCCTCCCAAAAGAAGGATCCACGGCGTGTTCTGGAGCTCGATCTGCTTGGGGCAAACAGTTTGGAATCCCCAAACGCGCCGGATCTTTTTGGGGGAAAGTGCCTGACATGATGCAGACCAAGAATCAATTCACATAAGACATAGGTGATGCAATGTGATGCATGTCCGCAAAAAACACTAATTAGGTTGGAATAGAGGTTCAACAAAGAGAGGTAAAAAGAACATTAATTGTGAGTGTGTCAAGTTTTGTGATGCAAGTGAAACATGTTGTTAAGTTGGGTGCAAATGCAGCTGTGCCTGGGACATCTATATATTCCGTAGCTAAAATTATTGAAATGAAAACGATACAAACATTATAACATTCCTTCTCAAGGCGCGTCAAACTCTACAACATAGTAACATATCTACAACATATACAAAGAGGATACAATGTGTTACAAAGGGGTATAGAGGACTATAAAGGTCTCTTCATTGTCTCAAACAGCCAGGGAAATCAACAAGGAAACCCTACTGGAAACCCTGATCTTCTCTGCAAAATATAATACAAAGAACAGCGCATAGGCACAGTGTGGCACAGGTCTTCAGAGCAGCCACAGGCAGAATACTCCTTCGATCCCACTGACAAAGACCTATCCGGAAAATGGTGTGAGGAGATCTTCCAGCCAAGTTTTGTCGCATCCCAACAGAGGTTGACTATCCCATAATATAGATACCTCAGTAAGGCCCTGTAAGTCACTTAACCTCCCTTGGTCCGTTACGTCTCATCTTGGAAAAGGTTGCTGAGCTTTTGGCTGAACCACTGCGGCGAACTCCCCATCCTCAGGACAGTCGACTGCAGAGTACGCATCAGTCCACAATGGGGGAGGTCACGCACAGGATGCTGTGTGACGTGTATCATCATCACAATAACATAGCAATTAATTCATAGCCTACTGTAATAATATACGCATTAGTATGATAGTATCCTGAATCCTCATAGTAGTCTCCCAACCCATGTGAATCTTCCAATCTTCAACCTTTGGGCCTTGTGGACCACCGAGGGCGCCACGGTTTGCGTGGCAGCGGACAAAGTGATCCTGGCTTTTCGCCCATCAAGCGAACCCGCGCGGTCGTGCGAGGCTGTGACTAACAGTTCAAAGTTCAGGGCCCACAAAAAAAGAAAACAACAACTTGCTTTCCGTATCTATCTTTCCCTTCTACTGGCCACATTGGCATTCTTGCAGAAAGCCACTGACCAGTCATTAGAATCAGAAGGAACAACTGGGGTGTTGAAGGCATTTGATTACACTTAGCAGTATCAACTGAAGCCTGAATCTTGAGCGCGTGCCAGTCTTTCGGCTCAACAGTTGACTCCAGCCTTTGTCTCATTTCTCACAAATCTCAAGCATTGTCAGGCACTAGGGTCTGCTGCATCGTGATCGCCTTTCTGCCACCAACCCATCAAAATCCACCATTCGCCATTCCTCGTCCGGTATCTCCTCTGCTGGAGTATCTTCAGTGGCCAGGCGGAACTCATACTTCCCAGTACGCCTGCTCTCCCTACGAAGACATTGTGACACGGCAGATGGAGACACACCAACCGCTTCTGCAGCTGCTGCCATTGATGGAAACCATCTCCACTCGTCTTTGGAGCCCCACCGCCGCCCAAGCACTGGCTTGGAGTTGGCTTCCTTGTGCCGTTGGCGAATCTGTGGATTTGACAAGGCATGCATCGTGTTCTCGGCAGGTGTGACGTACTCTAGATTCTCAAGATTGTTATTGCCAGGATGGCAGTCCTTGTGGTTGACTTGCGAACGCATCGGGGGGGGCGGGCCAAGGAAGGCACGGGCCACAAGGCGATGGACATAGACCATGCGATTTTCAATGCTTGTTTTGAAGTAGCCACCTCTTCTCTGATACCCTCGGGAAATTCTCCCTCCAGGCACTGTGAAGCGCCCAGCGGAGCTCACCTGCCGACCTCCAACTTCCAAACCTGTTGCTGGACTCACCATTGGGACCCATCTCTCACCGGGCAGAACTGGAGGCTCCAAAGGATCTGCAAATTTGAATTCATAGCTCCCAACAAGGCTGCCATCTTTGCGACACGCTGAAATTGTTTGGCTGCGCATGCCAAGTTGCCGAGCAGCACATTTGATGGAAGGACACGTTGCCCAATCCTGAGATCCCAGCACTCTCCACATGACAGGTAGTGATCTACCTGCGACGCTTCTTCCAAGGAGGTTTGCGCTGTGAAAATGCAGCATGTTTTCAGACGGGGTTGTGTATTCCAAGTTGTCCAGACGATTGTTGGATGGGTTGCCATCTCTGTGATGCACTTGCCAAGACTTATCATTCGGAGGATAACCCAAGAATGCCTGTGCAACGACACGATGTACGAAAAAGAGTTGCCCTGCAATCCTCACCCGACGATACCCTGACGGTTGGAGCGTTCCCAGTGTAATCTGGCCAGTGAGTGTGCGACAGCGGCCATGAGAACTCACACTCCAATAACTTCTCCCATACCTGCTGAAGGAAAGCTGCTGCCAACCAAAATGAAGCACTGCGTGACCAGGCCTTATGCTTGTTGCCATCCTTCACCGAACAAACAGAAGTACTAAGTACACAAAGCTTGTGCTACTCGTTTCATGCCGATGAGCAGCGGAGAATCAATCAGCCTAAGTGTTGCAATGTGATTCAGCATGGACCTTTGGTCTTAAAGCTTTGTGTGGAAAAAATGGTACTGTACATAGCACTACAAATCTCATATAAGCAAAGGACATGGCGCAATAGCGGCTAAAATGCCTTTCGACATGAGGTATCTACCTCAGGAAGCCACGAGTCTTGAAGAGGACATAGGCAATCATAGGCATGAAATGGAATGCACATATATAGCGACGTGACAGGCCAATATTCCATCATCTCTTCATATCTCTTCCACAGTCATTGCTCTTGGCAGACATGGTCCCAACACGGCAAGCGTGGACCTCGGCGACCCAATGACGGCCGGAGCCGCCCGGCCTGGACGGATTTGCTCCACGGCTCCCTGGTGAAGGCGGCACCTGATGGGTCGCCAAGCACCGCGGGCGACGCGCAGAAAGCGCCGATGGACATGCACCACGGCTCGGGCGCGACAGAGACAACAGATTGTCCCTATAAGAACAAAGACTAAGAGGTCACCAGTGACACAAACAAGCAAGGTTTAAGGTCAACAAAAGCATCGAAAGGAGACCTGTTGGAAGGTGCTGATGAACGAAAGCCCTCCCCAAGGGGATGTACATTGAAAATCCCAGCTTTGGAACCACCATCGCAGGTGCGAGCCGCGCTCGGACGACGCCTGAAGTGACTCCGGCGACTTGACCTCGGCCGACCGGATCGGATCAGCGACAGCGCGACAGGATGCATGTCAGTACGTAAGCCACGGCCTGGGGTACTGCATGTGGCAAGAACTTGAGGAACACATGTGTATACACAGAATACTTAAGGAGCCTCAGTTTCCCATTGGGACTCAGAAAGAGAGGAATCGACTATATAGTCCCAAGAATCGTGGAAGAATCGCGTGGGAGTCTCACATGCTCCCTTGCAAAAGAAGAATAGACTAGATGAACATGGATGAATTCCCTCAGTTGGACTCTACTGACTCCACTATTAGGTTTGCATCACCCATAAGTATGGCGAATGTGCGCTTTCTGATCCAACACTTACCAAAACATACCAAGGTGCTCAAACACTCTCTTGAACTTTGGCCAACAATTACATGCCACTCACCCCTATCCCTGAGGCAACAAAAGCTGGCTATAGACTTTTCTCCCACCCATACCATTTTCGGCACCTCGCACAAATGTATTTGCAGCATCGTTCTCACGAGCGTTCGTTTCGGTCTTTTTCCGCACCAACACCGCGTTGCAGTGCTTCTAACACCAGCTGTGCTCTGCTGTGGGGCTTGGCATTTCATGGGCTGATGTCAGCTCTCCATGATACAATTTCTTTCAAGAGCATCATCGTCCACGGGCACGTACCAGCCTGAAACAGTGAACGTTTGGTCTCACAGCAGATTGGACTGATTACTCTCAAAACATTCTCAGCCACATGACAAGTGGGCTGCACAGCAACCCCTTGAACTGTCAAAGTTGACTGTGCACAGGACCCTGTATCAAACCGAGCGCGCAAGCAAAGAAGATCACGTTCGATCACCTGCACTTGAACAAACTTCTGCAAGAAAAATGACCGGACCGGACCATGATTTATACCTCCTCCCAGCCTTCCCCTGCCGGCCTGGGAAAGGCTCAGAGAGTCGATAGTTCAGCAAAAGCTCCTCCCCCTCCGCGATGCCTGGTGCACGGTGCAAAAAGCCCAAACCCTCTGCTCTGCGGACACAAACAACGCTCGCGGCGCTCGCTCGGCGCTCGCTCGCGGCGCTCAGAACGATCGCGTGGCTGATCATGGCTGTAGGGATCTGTACGGAAGAAACAACCAGCTGCAGGCTGCAGTCGGCAGTTGCAAAAGGAGTGGGTTTTAGTCCCTGGACCGGCCGTGGATGCGATGGTGTGGGCACCCCACCCCCAGAACTGGCACAGTGACATGGAACTGCGGAACGCATGAAAGCTTCTGGACTTGCTTCTATGTCGCAGTTCTCTTTTGGTGATTTGCTCTATTTGAACCACATGAATGCAAGTTTCTTTGGCAGTTCTATTTCTCCGGATGCATCAAACATATCTACAATATAATTCTACGGAATTCTACGGATATATGTGCTTCAAACAACTTGGTGCCTGTCCGACTTCTTCGTCATGACGTACAACGTCATGTCTCGGACCGCTCCGGTACCTCGACGGAACAAACGGTTAGGACGGAAGGCCAACCCGAGGATCGGCGCCGGGGCCTCGTAAGGCGAAGAAGGCCATGCCAAAGTGAGGCCATGGAGGAAAGGTCGCCTGGAAGCCACTGAGGCACGGAGGGAGTCCAAGGACATTCTTGGAATGAGATGGTCTTTTGTTTGGCTGAATATCTGGGTGATATCGGAATAAATCGGATGTCCAAAAAAACCTTACCCTTTCTGTCTATTTAATTGTGGATTTTCCGATTGTCGATAGTCGATATAGATAATAGATACTATCATAGATCTGTAGATATGATCTGCACCATCTTCTCGTAGCGGCCACGCGGCTTCGTGGTGCTGCTTGGTATACTCTGAGACTTGCCACTTTGAACACCGGCCACCAGGCTCGAGATCCTCATCCCCCACAGCCATTTCGTTCGCGTGGCCTCCTTCCCAACCTCACCGGATGGAGTGCGTACCAGCCTGTGCGAGGAAGCGGGTTTTAGTTCCCCGAGCTATCTCGAGTTGGCGGTCGTTTTTGGAAACCTTTTTGTACGCGTTTCAGCAACACAATGGCTCTATACACTCCCTGAAAAAAATCCAGGAATTGGAAAACCTCTTATATATTTCAATTAGTGTAGATAGATCAAGCTGGGGTCTCCAAAACGGATCATCTATGCATGGATGTGTAGTGCAATGGAGAAAATTCCCGTTGAGTCTATGTTTCATCTTCTCGAAGGGGTCGAACTGGGAGGTCATTCGAGGGGTCTCAGTCAAATATTCAAGTAGAGACTCCTGTCAACAAATTGTTGTTCCAAAGATATTTAAGAAACATGTTGAATCTTATTCTGGTTTATATAGTATACTTGGATGTACTTGGCTTCTATTCAACTATATAAATATAAATTCAACATTAATGCACCAGAATGGCGGGTTTACCAGTGAAGCCCCAAAGAAGAGTTCTCGTAAGTGGCCCCAAGCACCGGTTCTTTCACATGGGACACCTTCTTACAGCGCTACACATAAAAAATAATCGTCGCAAGCAAGATTCTTTTGTTCTTTGAACTCTGAAAAGTCCCTCTTCCAAAAACACGGCATCCGTTCAACACATCTACCGGGCGGATCCCTTCAGCCCGGCTCCACCGGGTGGAGAACCCGGTCACTCCTCGAGTTCGGAGTGCCGGTGCACAAAAGCGAGAAGTGTACCGAACTTTTGAGGTTTGAAGTGCACGAAAAGTGTACCAAGGTTTTTCTAGGTGAGGTGCACAAATCCGAAGTGTACCAAGTTTGAGACTCGCACACCGAAGCCTTTCTTTAAGGAGCTCAAAAAGACCTTTTGTGGTCACGCGGGTTATGAGCCCAAGGTTCCTTTTTCGGTCTTAGGAAGACCACCCGTGATCGCTGGGTGAGCGACACGGTAGTTGGCCGCCATGTCGCGTGCGGCCGGCGGCTCGAAGAGGGCGCAACCCACCGGCGGGGTGGAGTCGCCAGAAGGCGCTTCCTCTATGGAGAGCGCGAAGGAGGAAGGTGGGGTCCTGGCCTTGGAGGACATCGGCCCAGGTGAAGGAGCGCTGGTGGCGGCCTCTCGAGATCTATGCCCTCTCGGACCTCCGACTTCGTATGGCCCTCAACGGAGGGAAGAAGGTCGAAAGAGGGATGGAAAGGGCCAAGGCTCGAGTCAGTCGACGGTTCAAGTGAACCCCTTCTGGTCGGAGAGGATCCAAGGGGAAGCGCTGCTGAGGGCGATGAGGCCGGCATCACTGGGACCCACGGAGGAGACTGGTGCGGCTAGCCGGGTGGAGCCTGATGATGGCGGCCAGGGGACCTTCGTGGATGTGCAGGAGGTGCTCAAGGCTGTCCTCTCACAGAACGCCGCCTTGAAGAAAGAGTTGATTGAGTTGAAGAAGAAGGTGGAAGCCAGGGACTTGAAGGAGGTGAAGGATCAGAGGCCTAAACCACCGTCGAGTACACCACCACCTTCACCTCCGAAGGGGCCACCGCCGAAGACTCCGGATCGGACTTTCGAGAGTCAGGCATGGGTCGACCTCGGGAAGATGCCGGAGTTCCCAAGCGGTATGGTGCCAATGACACCGGGTCCGAGAGGAGAAGACTGGGCGCTATGGCCTGCTCAAGATCAGCGTTCGGGAGTACCTCAAGTGCCAGGTTCTTGGGAAGTTCATGGCAGAGGGCAACAACCTGGAGGTCGACGGCCAGGTGATCCAGGAGATTGTCATCTACCCGAGGCATCGCAGAGCAGAGCTCACCAGGCGAGCTCGCCCCTGGAGCAGGCAGCACATACAGTACTGCGACAGTTGGGACAGGGCTCAGGAGATGGCACGTCGTGGATAGGAGAGAACATCAGAACGGTGGATCTGCCGCCCTTAGCCGACCTCAAGGAGGGTGACTTGGGAAGCCTAATCCTGGGGGATTGGATCCAGTTGGTCACTCCGACCATGAAAGACCTTTCGACCAACAGCTGGATGTGGTGGGAGGAGGTCATGAGGTCAGCGATGGAGGCGTACCAAGAATGGTTGAAGGCTGAACCGGTCCAGAAGCTCTACGTGCGACCTCGAGCACTTTTGGAGCGCCCGGGTGGATGGTCGAGGCTGGAGCAGCGGGGTCAACTGCTGAATGCGGTGCCTTCAAGCGTGAGGTCAGAGATTCTGGCGAGCAGGACTACGAGCTCTACAGAGGTGATGTTCGCACTTTTCCGTCGATACCAACCAGGTGGGCTGGCTGAGAGGTCCAGACTCCTAAGGTCGTTGGTGGATCCCAAGACGCCTGGAAGTGTCTCGGAGCTGCTGGAAACGCTGAGGGGATGGAGACGCAGCCTCCGGAGGGCGCAGGAATTGGACATCACCACTCCAGATGCTACGTTGCTGCTCGGCGCGGTGGATCGTATGTCAACGCCTGTGGTGAAGGCTTCAAGCCAGGCAGCGTTTCGGGTGAGTTCTACCAGGGCGACCCTTGGGGTGGATGTGACACCGACCCTGGCCTCGGTCCTGGGCTTTGCCGACGCGTTGCTGGCGGAGGCTGAGACGTTGGCATTCGGAGAGACTGCCACTTGTGAGGAGCCAGCGAAAGCACCGTCGACGGTGAAGGTCAAGGCGTTGGCGACTACGTGGGAGGAAAAGACCGACAAGGGTGCCATCAACAAGGGGAAGAATGACATCGGCGAGGTCGTCTGCCGGTTTTGGGGGACGGAAGAAGGATGTCGACGTGGACAAGAGTGCAAGTTCAAGCACGACTGGACGGGCTTGGAGAAGAAGGGAAGGTGCTTTGGGTGTTCGGCTCAGGGACACTCGAAGAAGGACTGCCCGGCCGGGAAGACGAAGGGTGGGTCGCCTGAGAAACCGGGAATCAAGTCGGTGAAGGAGAAGTTCCCACAGGCTTCATCGAAGACGGAGGGCACCGAGTCCGTGGCGAAGGTTGGGGGGAGCGAGACCGCTGAGGTGATAGCCCCCAGTGAAGGTGATCGAGGAGCTGGGACAACTAGTGATGTCAAGGATCTTCTGAGTGAAGCTACCACGCTCCTGAAGAGTCTGCGACCGGCCCCGTCGGTCAAAGCGATCAGGCTGAGCAGCCTAGAAGTTCGTGAAGGAGGACGAGCCCTACTAGATGGTGGAGCGACCCACTGTTTGAGGAAGGCTGCAAGTGAGGAAGAATGGATGAGAGCTCAGGAGGTCAATGTGGAGCTAGCAGCGGGGACAGCTGTCTTGAGGCTGCTACCATGGACGAAGACTCTCTTGACAAAGGAGGAAGTTCAGATGCTGGGAGTGCTGATTTCCCTAGGCTATGAGGCGGTGTGGGAGAAGTCCCGCTTTGAGCTGACTGATCCAGCTGGGATCACCTTGGACACGAGGATTGAGAACTCCTGCCCAACCATTAGTGAGGAGTTGGCGATGGAGCTCATCCAGGAGATCGAGCGGAGCATGGTGAGAGAGCGCGCACGGCTTGCGTTCTTGGCCGGTGAGGATGTGGGGTTGGAGGTGAGTGCTCAGGAGGCTAACCACCTGGAGGAGCTGAAGGACCTCTTCCCTCAAGTGCCGCACCACCTGCTGGAGCGCTTGCTGCCGAAGAAGGGATGGACGGGCGAGGGGCTCCCATGGAACCGTCATGAGAGGCGGAGAATCCGGAAGGCCAGGGAGGTTGTGATCCATCTATTCAGTGGTGATTCGAAGCAGTTCTGGCGAAGAGAGCTTGAGGCTGAGAGCCGGGTGGTGCTGTGTGTGGACACCGTGATCGACCCGGCCATGAACCTCTTGAGGGACGACGTCTTCGCCTACTTGCTGGACATCGCTGACAGTGGAAACCTGCGCGCGTTGCTGGGAGGCCCACCTTGTCGAACGATGAGCTGTCTTCGATACCGACAGCCTGGACCTCCACCACTGAGAGAAAGGGAAGGGCCCTCCCGGTTTGGCCTGCCACACTTAGACAGGCATCTCCAAAAGCAGGTCGAGGATGACACGGCTCTCTACCTCAGGCAGCTCTACTTGTACCATCGGGCGGCGACGGCAAGGAAGTCCCGAGTGACGCTCTCGGTGTTGGAGCAGCCGGAGGACCCCGAGGAGTACATCAGGGAAGAGGAGAAGAAGCTGCAGCGCTATGCATCCTACTGGTGTTGGCCGGAGTGGAGGAAGTTCAAAGAACGATGGAACATGATGGAGGTCAGTTTCGACCAAGGCCCGATGGGCCACCAGCGGAGAAAACCTACACGGCTGGGGACGAACATCCCGAAGTTGGTGGAACTCCAGGACATCCGAGGATCGGGAACTGGAGGCGGAGCTGCCTTGGCGGAGGACTTGGCGGAGCGAATCAAACAAAGCCGGGAGTGGTCTGCATGGGCTCCTGGCCTCAAGGCCGCTTTCACGGCGGGAATCCGGGAAGCTTTGTCGAACCCGGAGTGCATGGTCAAGAAAATGGACCTCGAGGCCTGGAAAAAACACCTCCTCAACGGTCATATACCGTACTCCAGAGAATGCAAGTCGTGTGTTGTCGCTGCCTCTCGTGGACGTGCTCACAAGCGGATCCAACACCCCGACGCATACACACTGTCGATTGATACTGCTGGACCGTTTCAGGAGGCTGATGATCAACTTGGTCGAGGTAGGTACCTCCTCATCGGTGTCTACCTGGTCCCAGTGTCCAAGGAAGGACAGACACTGATCCCGATCAACGAAGATGATGAACTCCCTGGAGCCATTGGGGATGGACCAGAGATCACCACGGTGGCAGAAGAGACGGCGGAGGACACGGGGGAGAAGTGGCCGGGTGACGGAGATGAGGAGGCATGGCTGGAGAAGGTCGAGAAGGAGACGGACTTCACGGTCAAGCAGATCACGATGGCCGAGATCCTGGAAAACCGGGGAACCCAGGCAGTGGTGGAAGCTCTCAGCCGATTCCATGCCAGGCTGAGGTTCTTGGGCCTTCCCATCTTGAGACTCCACTCTGATCGGGCAGGTGAGTATCAATCCCGGTCCTTCGAGCGATGGTGCCGGGAGAGGAGTGTGATGCGCACCTTCACTGATGCCGACAACTTCGGAGGGAATGGCAGGGCAGAGTGCGCGGTGGCTCAGGTGAAGCGAGGCGCTCGAACGCTCCTTTTGGCAGCAGGTCTCGATGAGAGCTACTGGTGTCACGCTGCCAGGCATTGGTCGGAGTGCAAGATGAGGAAGCAGCTGGAGTCTATGGGGCTGAAGAGGAGGGAACTGACACCATTTGGGCAGTTGGTGTGGGCGAAGAGGAAGCTGTACAACGATCGGCAGAAATACCTCTCCACTACGAGGACGCAGGTGAGGGTCCTTTGCCCGGCCGTCACGATGTCACTGACGACACCGGGGTACTTTGTCCAGGAGATCAAGACGGGAAAGTTCTTCCATTCAGGCGACATCATCGAGGTCGAGGAAGTCCCGAAGGAGATCGAGGTGCCGGCTCGGGAAGGAGGGTTTCTCCATGAGGTTGATGAACGGGAAGATCAACCCCAGCCGAGGAAGCGACCAGGAAGAGTCCGAGGGGCCGCCAAGAGGCTTCAGATGCCAGTGGACGGGAGCTGGGCGGCGGACTGGGGGGAGCTACAACATAGGGGAGCTCAACTCCTGTCGGAGGAAGTCCGCCTGGTGGAAGAGGAGGAAGGAGAGATCTTCAACGAGCGGTTCCTGAAGGCACTCACCGTGGAGGTGGAAGCAGTCACGGAGAAGGCCGTGGAGGCTGACCGGGAGGCTCAGGCTGAGGAGGTCAGGGACATTGAGAGGGAGATGGAGGAGCATCCAGCCTTCCTGCAAACGAGGATGGTAGGCTTAGCAGAGGTTCGAAGAAATCTGGCTGAGTGGAAGCCCTCAATGGCGGAAGAGTATGGAGCCCTCGTCACTGACTCGGAGGCGGTGGAGCCCATTGACCGGAAGAAGATGGAGTCTCTAAAGAAGGAGGCCGCTGACGCAGGAAAGGACTTCGATCTGGTGCCGGCGAAGGCGATTTTCAGCAGGAAGGCCGGAACAGGCCGACACAAGTGCAGAGGAGTAGCCTGCGGCAACTTCATGCAGGCGAAGAACAGCGAGTCCACCTTCGCATCAGGAGCCAGTGGCATTGAGGTGAGGATGCTCATGAAGGTGGCGGCTGTCCGAGGGTGGGATCTCTCGACCATTGATGTCAAAACGGCATTCCTCAATGCACCCGTGGAGGAGTCGGCGGAGAGGGGGGTCGTGATATAGTGGAGCCACCCCGGATCTTCCCGGAGGCGGAGGTGCTTCAAAGCCCGGGAGAGCTTTGGCTGGTGAGGAAGGCCTTGTACGGCTTGGTCACCTCCCCGAAGGACTGGTGTGTCCATCGAGACCAGAAGATCAAGACCTTCGAGTGGGAGATTGAGGGGGCCAAGTACAAGGTGGCGAAGACTGCTCAAGATGATATGTGGGCGATCAAAAGCCAGAACGGAGATGAAGAGGAGTGGAGGTTGGCGGGATTGTGCGCCACCTACGTGGACGACATCATCATCGCTGGAGAAGAGAAGGTGATCCGAGAGTTCCACAAGAAGGTTCGGGAGCACTGGAAGATCGGTGAACCCTCGTGGGTTGGAGAGGGTCGAGAGCCAGTTCGGTTCCTGGGCATGGAGGTGGAGAAACGGGGCAGGGACTTCGTGATCCATCAGAGGGCATACCTCGAGAACCTCTTTCTGGAGTATGAGGAGCAGGGGAGGTCATCGCTGGGTAACATCAAAACCCCGGAAGAAGAGGATCCTCCACTGGCGGTTGATGTGGCCCGGGCTCAAAAGGAGACTGGAGAGTTGTTATGGGTAGCGGGCAGAACTCGACCAGACATCTGCTTAGCAGTGAGCCTGATGTGCCAGTGGGCCACCAAGAGACCGAAAGGAGTGATTGCCATTGGGGCGCAGGTGCGGGCCTATCTCCGGGAGACTCGGGACGAAGGACTGCTCATTCAAGGAGGTGATGAAGGGGACGAAAGGGCCGAAGAGACGCTGGGCAGCGTAGAGGTCTACTCGGACGCATCGTATGCCTCATCCAACCTCAAGAGCCTGACTGGGATCGTGGTCTGCTATGGTGGAACGCCCATTGCCTGGCATACGACACGCCAAGCATTTGTCACCCTCTCCACGGCTGAGGCCGAGTTGATGTCACTGCTGGAAAGCCTGGTGACGGTTCGTTCTACAGGAGCGCTGGTCGAGGCAGTGCTTGAGAGAAGGGTGAGATTGAGGATGCACTCCGACTCAACTGCGGCCATCGCAATTGCGTCAGGGACGACATCGTCGTGGAGAACGCGTCACCTCCGGATTCGAGCAGCTGGTCTGACGGAGGCCCTGAGATCGAGGGAAGTCTCGCTGACCCATGTGGCGGGCACAGAGCTGGTGGCAGATGGGATGACCAAACAGTTGACTGGCCAACCCCTTAAGAACTTCAAGGAGGCACTTGGGTTGGAGAAGATCCAGGTGACGGAGAAGCTGGAGGTCAAGAAGATCGAGATTGGGAAACGAAGTCCGGACTCCAGGTTTGCGAAAGGGCTGGGACTGTTGATCGCAGCTATGAGCCTGATCACCAGTGCGGAGGCGGCGGACAGCCAGCCCGAGGGAGGAAGCGGCGAGTGGTGGATCCTCGTCCTGCTCACGGCGGCCATTGCCATCATTGGCGACGTCTTGTTCAGGGTTGGCACTGCCGGAGTCAGGAGGTGGATGGCCCCAAGGGAGGAGCTGAAGGTGAAACTCATCCACCCGGAGGCTCGACTACCCACTCGCGGTTCGGAACAGGCAGCCGGACTGGACCTATACTCGGTCATTGAGACGATGGTCCCATCTGGTGATAGTGTCTTAGTGAAGACAGGCATTGCGATTGAGCTCCCTCCCGGGACGTATGGCAGAGTGGCTCCAAGGTCAAGTCTGGCCATCAGAGGGATTGAAACTGGGGCCGGAGTCATTGATCGTGACTTCCGAGGCGAAGTGAAAGTGCTCCTTCGAAATTGGAGCGACGAGGACCTCTTCATCTACAAGGGCGACCGGGTTACACAGCTGGTGATCGAGAAGATCCTGGAGGTGGGGGTCAACAGTGTCGAGAATTTGACCGACACGACCAGGGGCTCGAGAGGGTTCGGATACTCTGGGCATGAGGAGATGTATCCCTGGGCAGAGCCGGATGACCCCCTCTACCAATGCCAAGAACTGGGAACCAGGAATCCAGTGGACCGAATCTCCATCAGGACGCTGCGAGTCGGAAGAGGACGAGGTGAAGCGACTGAGGACAGAAGCATCCAGACCGAAGAGGACACTGGTGGGGGGCTATCTCATGAACACCAAGAAGTCGCCGGAGACCATCGAGTACCCGATTCCGAACTATGGTGTCGAGGAGCCTACGATGCTGAGGCAGAGGAGAGACGCCGCAGGAATCTGGGCTTGGGCTTGAGCGCCTGGGACCGATCTATGGTCAGACGAGGACCACAGCGGAACCATGGTGGCACATGGGTGATGATGGACTCAGAAGGGGTGCACTTCGTCGCACATGACCCGGGAGATGGTCGGGGACCGACGCAGGGCATCGACTTCGGAGCTCGTGGAAGTGGAGGAGATGAAGCACCACCCCAAGAAGGAGATCAACCACCAGAAGAACGTCAGCAGGGAAGGCTACCGAGGGTGGAGCCGCTGCGGCTGGTCACGACAGTAGAGAAGGGCATCGTGCTTGGGAAGTGGTGCCATGAGGAAGAAATGTGGGATTATTTGAGATCCCCAGGATTCCAGAGGGGCTTCATCAATGATGCCGTGCTGAAGGTCATCTCCACCCCGCCGCGACGGACTGCGGCCAAGGACTCCTGGGACTACCTGATCGACCATGATGGAGGAAAGAAGATCGGCATCCGGGTCCACTACCAGGAAAGGAAGAAGCTGTATGACTTCGAGGCCAAGACTTTGCTCGAAGAGGAGTGGACCCAGTGGAGAATGACGGTGGCGTGGCACCTGAACTCCAAAAGGAAGACGATCCTCATGGACGAGAGGAATGGAAAGAAGGGGTGCCACTTAGACCTTTGGTGGGGCTACACCCTGTTTAAGACGAAGTGAGAGAGGCTTGAGCTGAACAGAGCACCGAAGTCCACCAAGATGGTGGAGGGGGAGTGCCGGTGCACAAAAGCGAGAAGTGTACCGAACTTTTGAGGTTTGAAGTGCACGAAAAGTGTACCAAGGTTTTTCTAGGTGAGGTGCACAAATCCGAAGTGTACCAAGTTTGAGACTCGAACACCGAAGCCTTTCTTTAAGGAGCTCAAAAAGACCTTTTGTGGTCACGCGCGGAGAACCGCGGCGAATTGCTGCTGAACCGCGTCGATTCGGCACCGGGGATTCAAACGCGAAGCTCGCCTGCCAGCGCTCATCACCACGTGTGGAATCAGCCGCGCCCAAAAAGCCGGGCTGGTTTCATGGAGTTCGTCCCAGCTGGGCCAGCGGAAGATCATCCTCAGACCGACCGAGGGTGGACGGTTTGCGGGCGCGACCTTACCGCCCGCCCGTCGGAGGCGAGGTATGAGGTCTCATATAATGGCATGGAGAATCCGATCGTTCGTGTGCGTGTCGAGCACAGCTCACTGCAAAGTGATGAGAATGAAAGAGAGAGATAGAGAGAGCTGGCAAACAAATGATTGGAAGGACGAAACCAGGCAGGAAAAATAGCTCAAGAGAACAAAACAGAACAACACAACAGCGAAAGAACTATATAAGAGGAAAGGACAATGAGATAGGGTTGTGACCGAAGCTGTTTCGGAGGCCACTCAGTTCAAACCAACAAGAACAAATGACATGCAACCATCAAAAGGCAAACCAAAAGGAACAAATGGGGAAACACCAGCTTAACATTCTGACGGGCTTCACAAAAGTTTTGAAGGTTTCAACAGTCAAGAAATATTACACATTGACCTGCCCTTGTGGAGCATCGTCGGAAACGGCAGGAACACTCGCATCACACGGGGGAGAGGGGCAGTTTGCAGTCGTCTACCAGGAGTCACAAAGGGGTGGTCTTTAGTCTGCGAGTGGATAATGGGCACCCTATCCTCCAATAGGCATCCCTTTGTGACTCCTGGTGCCGATCCGTCTCCATTTACACCGCCCAGACTCGGCACCACGTTGGGCCTTGGCGCCCCACGAAGACGAGAGCGCGGCCGGCGTGGTCGGTCGCCCCGCGCTCTAGTTCCATGTGAAACGGGTGCGGTTCGGCTGTGCAGCTTGTCACTGTGATGGACATGGAGACGATGTGAAAACAAATAAGAAAAACACGACAAGAGAACGAATGATACTTGATGGTGACGAGCTCAGCATCACCGGGGAACATGCATGAATATATACTGACAACGCATGTCATTATTCTACCCTTACAACACCATGCAAACAAAGAAACCACTGACCCCTGCCAAAGAAAGACCTATGAACTCCAAATTCTAGACCATAAGTCTAACACTGACAAGTGTATCCCTGGTAAATTTACGTAAATGGGACCTCCTGAAAACCCGCATTTGAGGCTTGCTCCAAGGTCTAGTCAACATTTACAGCATTGCGGAGGCAAAAAAGAACCCATGGAGACAGCGTCCCCCTTTGCGTCCTTTTGGGTATTTCAACTTCAACATGATTCAGGTCGGATGGAAGGCGCCCCCAAAAAATTAACACGAACCTCCAAGGGGCGGTTTTTGGGGGCGAAACCATGGAAGGGAAGGTTAACATCTCTTACAGAGGAATCTGTTCATTCGGTGGTCAACCACTGCCACATGAGTTTGATATCTTCTGACCACCTCTGATTTTCTCATGCGAAGGCCGGCGGCCCAACACCGTCCCTCGTTTCCCGTCCCGGACGGTTTTCCACAAACCGATCCTGACCATGGCACAGCTGGCCTTTGGCCGGGTGGTTCAGCAGATTCCCTACGGCCAAGCGGTTCCCATGCCTCGGCGCTTCGATGTCGATCGATCCGTCGGCTGACTGGGCGAGACCGAGACCACCAGTCCAGACCGACCAGGGAGACGAGCGCATCCCAACCGGAAGGTCATTCGCGACTCATGGGTGGACCGGGGCTCGTTTGGTTTTGACTCATCCCCACATTTAGATCATTGCGAGAGGCCCACAGTCTTGCAAATGCTAAGAGATGCTAAGAGTATCTTCTAGTGGTCCCTGACGGAATCTGTTTTGGATGGTTTTGGAGTCACACCCGTCACACCCCGACCGCAACCGTGCTATTCCCGTCCTCGGATTCCGTCTCGGTCTAGGACATGGAGAACGCGTTCGGCCAGACGTGATGCAAGGGGCCCCCGTCTCCGAACAAGCTGGAAATCTTCGCTGAAGATTGGAGGAAAACGTTCTCCAATGCGCAGGAGCTGGAGTTGAGGGCCTATCGATTATGGAGTGAGGAGTCACTACAGGCACTATATAATTGCTGTTTGGTGAATCGGAGACTACACTGCACATGGGAGTACAACGTTCCCTAATCACTAAATCAAGGTAAAACAGGCCTCCTACTGAAGTGGACAAACTCTGCTGGTTCTGGTTCCCCGGCTCACTTGGCAAATGATGCAAATGTCTGGGAACAATGACAGGAACCCTTGGTTCCCCCTTCTCAGCGCCGTTTCCCCCGCTCGAGGCGTCCATTCATGAAACCATGTCTAACCCTCCAAAGTTCCTTTGTGATGTTGCCAATGGTTGGCAGTTGACCCATTACAGGAACCATCTGAATGGCTTGACATCTCCAGGCCGAAAGGCACTCTTATTGATCCATTGTCAACATCATTGCTCATCCACATAAATGACAAAACTGCAATGGACCTGGCCGGTTTTGGGGGTCATGGCTAGACCCACACAGACCCACCTGACCAGTGGCTGCATAGCCTAGAAACTCCCAAGACTTGGAGAGGAAGAAGGGAATCACCAAAGACCCAAAAGCGATCTACAGTGAAGCCATTGATGCACACACCCCACTGGTGTCATTCTTTCTCAAAGGTTCTGCGCACGGCAGAAAACATGCAACTGCACTGCGCGGAGCCGCTTATATATATATATTATATATATATATATCTACGACCACGACCGTCCCTCAGCAAAACTATAGACTGTCCCACTGCCAACTTATATAGCCATCCCCAACAGCCCACAGGTAAACATCTGAGGAACCACAAGATTGGCTCACGGCCTTGCAGCGCAGGATCGGGGCGCCACGCTGCTGGAAACCATCCCTTGCCGTCCTGAAAGGCATCGTCACCGCCGCGGGATGCCCGTCACCGGTGTCCGTGGTTGAACGTTTCGTCACACGCGTCTACAACAGCACCACTACACTAGCCAGTTAGGGTTGTTGCCCACAACTGACCATAACCGTATGAAGACCATCCAATTCCCTCATGCTCAATCCATCGCCTATTGAACGTTTCACCAACCATCATCCTTCGAACGCAAAGCTTTGCAACACAGGAGTCTGATGAGGAACTCCCGGCATCTTTCATATACTGATACTTCATCTTCATTCCTTCACCCGAGGTGAACGAGCCAACATGTCCATCAGCCTGGCCTTCCTTGGACACAACATCGGGACTTCCTTGGACCTCCACAGTGCTGTCTAGTCTGGTGCTAACACAAGATCAATGTCCAGGTCCTTCTCATGGTCTACCGTTGTAATTACCCGTTCTACACCAACAAATCAATAAATCTACAGCTGGGTTCGCCTGGCTGATCCACCAGTTCACATACGCTTGCTCATCATCCCCCATCGTCCATCACCCTCTTTTCAGCCACTCTGATGCCCCCCATCATAGCCCGCACTGTCCAGGTGCACACCCTCATACTCATTGGTAAAGAGCTGATCACCTGGTGGCAGGTGATCATCTGTGAAGATGCGCCCGGGGTAGAAGCACGCCAGCTGCCCGCGCTTCAGCGAGGTCCTTGCTTTCACTTGGAACATCTGGAAGTGAAGAGTGAGGCTCCCAGCGGCTTGTGTGTGAGTCCAGCACCCTCTATCCCGTTCCCAAACTGTTGTTCACATTCGTACCCTAAATACTAAATGCCAAATCCATGAGTTGCTTAATACATGCCTTCATTTCCGTGGCCGCGACACACGGAGCCAGTGTTGCATGGTGTCTCAGTGTTGCATGAGCAACGGAGCCAGCGAATGCCCCACGAAGCATGGCTTGAAAACACGCAGTGCATTGAACCGAATTGCACAACCGGCGATCTGCGTTTGGCCAACATGGCCAGATTCAGGATATCTTCAAGGCACTATTCAAGTACTTTTGCAGGAACCTCCAATAAAGGCTGTTTCTGTTTTAGGCCACAAAAGCCTCTGGATGAGAATAATGCTTTGAATCTTCAACGGTTTTGACATGTTTTGACATTGATTCCATCGTTGAGCGACTGCAACACCACAGGTGAGCGCAAAGCGTCGCTCTTTTCTCCCTTCTCCAAGCGTCGCGGTGAAAATGCCCAGGTTGGTCACCGGCGAGACGCCCAGCTTGAGGATGATCCTCGGAAACCGAGGACCAGGACGACTGGCAATAGTTTGCTGCTGGTCACATCTGGTCACCAGCAGAAGTGAAGCACAAATGTACAACGAAACGAGGTAGGCCAACAAAACGAGGTTTTGGAGAGAAGGACTTGGGAAGGAAGGACCTCAGTCTTGGGCGAATGGCTATGATATGCTATGATATCTTTGCTCGATATATCTTTGAAATTCGTCACAGATCAGCTTGCGTTCAGGCCCGTCCAACACTCGAAACACCTCCTAAACTCGACTCGGTCGCCCTTTTCTCCAGGTTGAAACCTCTGGACATTCCATTTCTCCTAATCCCTCAGTGCTTCTAAGCGCTTCTCGGGCCGGCGCCGGCGCGGGATCCCCTCCCTCCCCGCCGTGCCACCGCCGCGCCTGCCATCGCCGAGCTGGTCACCCGTCCGTGACACGGCCGTCGCCGCGCCGTGCAGCTCTCGGCAGAGGTGCGCCAGCGTGGCCGTGGCACGCTGAGAGGACTCCCGGAGCAAGGGCTCAAAGAGCTCCTCAGGCGAGGACTTGCGGGTCGGCCCTCGGGGGGCGGGTTTTCAGCTCCTCCACTGGGGCGAAGCGGTGCAGCTTTACTTGGGCGAACAGATGCGAAAAGCCGAAGAAAACCATGCGAACATGGCACCTAGAAGGTGGGCTTCTTCGAATCAGGCGAAAAAGACGTGGGGAAGCCTAAACCCTATTCCTCACTTCTGTCAACTAAATTGAGCTTGGACATCGAAGCATCGCAGCTGTCCGCTGTGGACTTTTGGTGCCGGTGCCGGTGTTCGGTGTTCGGTCGTGTTCGGTGGGTGGAAGATTCGACAGACTAGCCCTGGAAGATGGTCCAAGTGGCCCTCCATTGTTTAACACCATGTAGGTGGCAATGGATGTGAAAGGAAAAACAACAGACGCATAAAGAAGCTAATGGTGAGCCCCTGCAATTGCAAACATTAAATTCTGACAAGTACGAATGCGTGGCTGGGATGAGGTTTGGACTTCGGAATATTTCGATATGGGTCATGGAAAAACATTGTCAATCTGTTTCCTCTTCCTCACGCCATAGGCTCTCGCCCCCGACAAATGCACCGAATTAGTAATACATGGTCAATCACAACAACAATCACTCACATTTCAAATGATGCAATCTTTTTCCCACACGTTCATTCAGATTATTCATGCATGAGATGAGATCATGGGATCTTGGTGACCTCAACAATTAAGCTAGAGTTATGACTGGCTAAACATGTAACAGGCCAGTTTTGGGGGTTGAGTTGTTTTAGTTTTGTTATGGTTTTGATATGGTTGGAGGTTATGATTTTGATATGGTTTTCCTTTTGCGAGGGACGGAGGCAGGTTCCAGGATTCCAGGCCCTGGAAAGGCTACCAGAAGGCTTTTGAGTGGGCCAGGGGCTTGGAAGAAAGGTTCCCTTGTGGGGGGAGGGCTTGGGTGGCTGGACCATAAGAAAACCATTTAAAAAAATATAAGAAAAGTGTAAGGCTTATGGTTGTGTTATGATTTTGATATGGTTTGCCTTTTCCATATCAACAAATCATATCAAAACCATAACAAAATCATGAGCAGAAAACCACTAACTTAAGAAACCATAACAAAGCCATAACAGCAAATCATATCAAAACCATAACCAAACCATACAAATAAAACTATTTTACATACATGCTTCTGTCACACCTTGGCCAGTCTTAAAGCTAGAGCTATAGCCAAAACATATATAATGCAGATAGAATTTAGTTATAGTAGTTCTAAAAACGTAGTTATATAGTGCCTTGTAGCTTGAGGCGCCTTCTCAAAAGCCCCACCTGCAGCAGTCACTCTGGTCGCTCACCGCTCTCTCTTGCAGTCATTGAGCTCTCTCCTCCAGGCCAGACCCGACGCTCGCACGTCCAAAGGCGCTGGCCAGCAAACGCAGGTCGCGGCGGAGATGCGGCGAGACCATGGACACCGCGGTGGGGGCGGCATATCATGGGCGCACGAACCATGAAGCGCGTGAAACAGGCGGCCGAAATCGAGGTTTTGGGATGTTTTGGGTGGGTTGGTGAATGGGGCATCCTTAAATTGTTGAATTCAGATGGAAGTGGTGACTACTAATTACTAGTAGACTACTAGCACTACTTGTTTCTTCTAAGAGTACAGACAGGGTCTCTGTTCCACCTGCGGAGTCGGGTTGCGATCGAAAAATCCGTCCAACTCGAGGTCACGCTAGTGAAGAGAGTCATCTCTTGTTTGAGGTTACCTCCTGTTGATCTTTAACAAGTTGAACGAACCAAATCCACAAGATTCCCAAAGTTTTCCGTTGGAATTGGTCATGCTCTGTCCAAACACAGTGACTATTGCTGTTTCCTTTCCATTTGAGATTCATGATGATACTTGCCATGAACAGTACATATAAGCGGGAGGGCTTCTGCTGAGATGGGGCACCAAACGACGAATGAGGCTTATTTGGGAGCTACTGGTCATCTGCCGCCATCACGAAGCATCAGGAAACACTTCGGTGTCCAACTCTGTTTTCTTTAGTCAACAGAAAGCACTGGTTGACCACGATGATGGTGGCAACTGGCTTGAGGAGGTCATGTTTGCCAACATTTAGTGATGACACTCAATCTTCTGTGAGACTCTGTCCTCTCCCTATCGCAGTCCAGTACGTGAGGTATTGATTAGAGATACCATGTGAGGTATTGATTAGCGTGATACGCCCCTTTCTAGCAAAACAATTGTAGGGGAGTGAATATATATCAAATACCACGCTAAAGCAATTCCACAAAGTCTGGTCTAGGACTTGCTTTTTGAAAGGAAACCAAAGGACAAGTTGCAACACGAGCTCAGCCAAAGGCTATAAGCTAAGCAAGGATCTCAAATAAATGGAACTGCTGGCTGAGCACTGGAATGCTTTGTCTTTCTGACTTGTTTCCGCAAGGGGCCCAAAGTCCAAACCCTTATATTGTTCCATCACCCGGAACAATTCATGCATAACATCATATAAACAAAAAACACTGTGCTGGCTGTGCTGGTGCACTACTCCCTTGAAAACCTGTTTGGGACCATTTCTTGCATTCGATTGAATTTAAGGTGACAGAAGTTCTGAGGTCGGAGTCCAAGGCCTCAGCCTAAAAGAAGGCTCAAGAGTTTAGGTAGCTCAAGGAGAACCACTGGCAATGCAACAAAGATCGGATAACATTTCCACAAGCAAGTTTGCTGAAAAAGCAACTTACTATTCCAGTCTTCCATCCTTCAAAACAGGCTATGGAAGAATAAACCGCGATGGGCCAACGGAACCCCATTCCATCACACGAACCCCAGGCCCCAACCGTGGGCTGTCGTGAGAGTACGTCTACCCCACTGCGACTCCAAAGAAGAACCGGACCCCTAAAGGGGCAATGTCTCTGCGTCCTGTTGAAAAGCAAGCAACAAGATGCAACATGTATCTTGAGCAAATTCCGAAGCTTGCGACATGAAGTCAGCGTCTCATACGAATTTCAAATCACAGCAACCTGCTCGAATTACATGCTCAGTCAGGAGTGCTCACTGCAAATTGTACACGGAGCCGTGGCTCTGGGTAAGGAAACTTGAATGTGCAACAATGATCCACTCGACTTTTCTGTGATCTCTAGTTCACCGGATTACCTGCCATACAGTAGCTGCACAGCAGTTGCACACAGCTGACCCGTCAGAAAGTAGCCAGGAAATCTGTGCCCGGCGCAGCAAACCAATTTAATTTCATCCGTGCAATGTGCAAGAACCGAGGGCCAACCATCCTTCTCATCACCAGCATCTTACTTTCTTACTTCTACTCAGCCCGAATGTCATGCAAACTCAAGCTAAGCAGTGGATTGCATAATTCAATGATACAACACCGAGCAGATCTTCTGCTCGTCTGCCAAAACGCCCACTCGGGAGTGCCACGCTGCCAAAACGCCACCGAAGCCGTGCGAGAACTGTGCTCAGCTCAGCTCCTGGAGGACTTTCGAGGTTTTTCCCTTCGACCGGGGCGCCAGGGTGAACAAACATCTCCATGAGGAGAAGAGGACACCCTACATCGCGGAATGTACAGTATAGTGCACGAGACTACATCAGTATAAACACAAAAACTACACATATCAATCATATATCGCTATAACTATATCATGGGGGAGTTATGGGTACCCCCATGAACTGGCCCTCCCCTGGCCCCCATAACTCCCCCATGACTATATATTGCCAAAAACGACGGTGACTGAATCGCCCGATCGGTCAACCAGTTATGCCCCTCTGGAGGCACCGGGGCGGACGCAAGGGGCGGACGCCAGGGGCCTCATGGACACTCGATGAAAGAATCACTGAAATGAAGAAAAACTTCATAGAACACATTAGAACACTATAGAAAACACCATGAACCGCAGAAGACACGGAAAGAACACAATTCTAAACATGCTTTAAACCATCGTAAGCCAATTTCTTGTGATGCAAATGAACAAGTAGTCGTCTGCATCAGGTCTCCCAAGTAGATGGCCAAAAAAACACACATCATGCAGGTTATGTGTGCCTTGGGATGGAGACATATAATATATGTTTCTCTGCCACGACCGGTTGTCAGCTCTATGGAAGCAAAACACGGCCCAACAAAAGGGCCATCTGCATCCCGAGCAAGCAAATAAGCAAACAGGACACTGCAAACAAGAATCTTCCAACCCTAGTGTTGGACTAACGATGTTTTGTGTCATGGAAAGAAATTGATGTTCCAAGCAAACACCCACATAATTATATGATGTCTCATGAGGTATCTTATAAAGGCAAAACCAAAATGGGTACCCAAACAATCCCATCTTCACACTGCTTTCTGCCAACTCCAACCCTGTGCGTTTTGCCCTGATCTTTCATCTTCCACTCCACTCCTTCCGTCCCCACGTCACGCCTACCAGCCGCCCGGTCCTGCGAAGCAATGGCCAGGTCCAGGCGCCGCACCAGCTCCGGCACCTGCGGAGCGGCGGCGGCTTCGGTGGCCGGCAGAGTGGCGGAGACCTGGGTGGCCTGAGCTCAAGAGCAAGGACACACATGGAGTTTAAATCTGCCGTGGTGGATTTTGGTATCTTCACCCGGCCGTGGATTGCTTTTTTGGAAAAACCTTCCGGCGTCAGGTGGAGGGGAAAACCTGGTAGAAGGTTACGTGTATGAGCAGCTGATGCGTGCTCTTCAGCTGCTCATGTTCTTAAAGCGTACCAGAATGCATAGAGTGAAGTAGCATGTTAAAACCAAATCAGGTGCAGGAGTGACTCCATGCTCCAGAAGTCCAGAAGTTCCATGGTGATTCAAGAACCTTCGTAGAGTGAATTTGACCGAATGGCACCTTTCACTGCAGGTCTCTTCGTGTTTGGCTGAATGTTGACAAGAAACAAATCACAAAGAGAATGCAAAAGAAAACTATGAGACAACTTTATAGAAAACTAATGAACACTGACTCATTAAAAATAGACATATTTTTTTTTCGATTTCGATTCGCGCACGGTACGACAAGTGCAGCGCCTAGCATTGAATTCTTAATTCGTGACGGGCGCCCTGCGGAAATCGGGTCCAAAGGAACATGTCCTATCGGGAGTGGAAGAAAAAGATCTCTCAACCACTCCCGGGCCGCTTCGACTTCCCTCAGTGGCGAAAACGCTCTACTCTCCCGCCAAACTCTGTACAGTAGAGCGATGAAACGACATAGATCTGAAGGGTAGACTTCCAGTCTGCTAGCTTTCCACCCTCTATCACTCGCACTATCTCCACACTAGATTGCATCAGAGAGAAGAGCTGCATAATTGGCTCTACTTCCCCTTCATGTTCGTTGTCTGGCAAAACATCGGACTCAGACTTAGTGCTAAAGTCACGACCAAAACTGCCTAAAGCACAACTATCAGCCAACCTGGACTGCATATGTCTGTGCTTGGAAAAGATGTCTTCTTGAGCGACAGCTGCCGCTCCACCCCCACAAGACAAGGAGGGGTTCGTTCCAGGGGAAGCCCAAAAGCGCCCAACTACAGCATCCCGCAATCGCGACTCTGGTAGGTCTGCTGTGTGATAATGAGAAGGCAAGATGCAAAAAGATCGGCGCAATTTAGCTTCCCGGGGACAACCACTGTTGTCATCCCGCCTCATCCAGTCAGTGCTGAATGATGACACATGGTGGTAGTTGTTCATTTCGTGATTCAACTGCATGAAAGTCAGTGCATTTAGGCTGAAGTGTTCTGTCGTGGGAGTCTCACCATTGCAGGTACCTTCCCCATGGTCTCGCCAAGTCGTACCGGACCAAACGTCATGCGGGTCAGGGGTTGCAGTGTGATCCCCTCTGGATAATGGGACACGATCAGCCCATAGCCTGCAAACATGCTCCCCGACATCCCCAAATGAGGAGGTAGGCAGCGAAGAATCTCTCGCTTCAGAGTAACATATGTCCCTGCCTGCAAACCACACTTTGACGTCAGTAGGTTCATCACGAAACACAAAGCCCCCCAATTGGTCCCTCTGATCAAGACTTGGACTCAAGCGAGAAGAAACTGCAACAGTAATATCGCCAGAGTGGTTTCCTGTTCCTTGACCACTCCAGTGCCTGCACAGTTCCGCATGCGAGCCAGGGGTTGCAGTGTTATCCCCTATGGGGGAGGATGGTTGTTCAGCTCCCCAAAGAGGCACTTGATGCCCCTGTGTTGCCTGAGCTCCAAGGATGTTGAACAGGAGGAAAAAGCTCATTTTCTTGCTCGTCACTCTCTGGTGTCGAAGTGGCTTGAGACGGATCATCCCAACTTTTCGACACGCCTTCAAAGTGTCAAAAAGGTAGTACAAAGTCGTACCAAAAGAAAAAAACCAAGGAAGACAGCCACAAACCAGCCTCCTTGCATTGTTGCTGCTCGGGGACGGATATGCACACCATCCACGAAAAAGTCAAATCCCAGAAAGCGCTTGGCAATCCAGGAGCATTGGTATATGAACGCCATAGTGATGACAAGTAAGTTCAGATACCACTGAATTAATGTTCTCTCATCTCGAAGCCCTCTAAGAGGGCTGAGATAGACCTTGCGGTAGAAAATGTCAAACGTCTTGATCATCAGCCATCCGCAGCATAAAACAAGGCTCACTGCTCCGGTAAACCAGCATGAACTTGTCATCCCAACCACAACCATGGAAAAGGCACCCGGTCCGAGATCCGAGCACAAAGCAGTCGGGAACCAGTCAGCTTGTTGTCCAGCGGCCAAAATGCTGAAGTCATCTGTCGCCATTTCAAACCCGGCGCCAGCTACTTCATCTATCAGGCTAGAATTCTGTAAGCCCTCATCAACCCAACACACCATGGAATTGGAGTCAACAAACGGACCCATTCCATCATTCCGAAGTCCAGGGCATCCCAAGGGGAGACCTGAAAAAAAACTTTCTGAAAAATTCCAAGCGGCATAGATAGTCATTGAAAAACTGCTAAGCAGACTTCCACATAAACATCTCCACTAAGTCGGCCTAGGATTCCATTTTCGAAAGCCCTGCCGAGCCGCTCGATTCCACTGAAAGCGAAGCTTCTCTGCGGGGGCTCCGTTCTCTGCCATGACCTTCCCCCAGCTGCGCCTTCATCTTCTCCACCTGTGCCATGCGAGCTGATCGTTCCCGATCTCTCGTTTCTACAGCTTTGACCGGATGTTTTACCTGTTGAGGTGAAAAAGCATCGATCGAGAGCTGGTCCAACTGGTGTTGCAGGAATATCTCCATGCTGAACCAGATAGGCATTGAATCGATCTGTCAGCTCCGTGAGAGCTCTTCTGGATGCAAGAAGTTCTGTTTTGAGCTCTAGATTCTCTGCTCCCAGTACCTCTGGGCTCATAATAGGCTCCACTGAGTCGGGGCGTCCAGCTTCTCGGAGCATCGTCTCCAAGTCCTGGGTTGCCGCTTCGATCTCCTTCTCTAACTCTTTGACTTCTAGCTCGTAAATCTCTTTTTGAGACTTCCGATGGGCATCGAGACGCTCTTGGAACTGAACCCATGCCTTCTTTTTGGCAGTCAACTTGGCTTTCAGCTTCTCGATCTTTTGCGTGGCTTTCTTTCTCGTATTCAAGGACTTCTGTTCTGCCTGAATCTCCGCCAGCGGTCCAGTCTCCAGAACCTTGACCGCCTCCTCCGAAGTCTGCAAACCATGCTCGACCAGGTAAGCTGCCACCGCTTCCTTGATCTGCTTTGAGTCCACAGCTGTTGTAGATGCCGATGAGGAAGGCTGCACTAACGATGAATAGGCAGGAAATTCGATGTCTCCATCTTTCTTGCCCTTGCTTTTGTCTTTGTTGGCATCTTTCTTGTCTTCTCCTTTTCCTTTCTTGGACCAGGCTCCACTCCAATAGTGGCCCTTCTGGCCAGATCCTTTGTATGCATTGTACCAGGCTTTCTTCAGCCTGTCTATCCTGCCTTTAGAAGCCCTGTGGGTAGGCTTGTTCTTCTCATGACGCAGGAGCGCACGCGCCCTAGAGCGCCTGGCCCTTGCTCTGCGATGCCACGAGGGGCTCGCAGACCTCCGTGCAGCTTTCACGCCAGCCAGCGTGGGGCAACCCCACAAACAACTCCACAATGGCGAACGCACCGCGGCACGGAAACGGATAAAAAAGGCGTGCACAAATGCACTGGGGCAAAAACGCGATCGAACGCTCGTGTTCGTTTGAGCCCTAAAAAATAAACATATATTTAAAAACAAAAAAGAACATAGAACACACACACACACATGGTGTCCAAGTGCAAGACCGGTTTCCACCTTCCACAAAAAAACACATGATGCATGCATAATGGCAAGAATGAAAACACATTGGAACACCGACTTCCACCGGTCAGTCCGAAGTAACACGACTGAGGAGTCAGGTGGGTCCACCGCAACCCGTGTGGGGACGCCTGGTCGACGGGCACCGTGGCGGATTTATGGGATCCCAAGTCTTCCACCTGGCACCGACGGAAGTGAAACGGAGAGGCGACGCCGCTTCTTCAGCTCCTGGTGGGTCTCTCCACAAATTGTGGAAGCCATGGAGGACATAATTGTTTGGGTCTATCCGAATGAGCCATGTAGGGGGGCCTTGTTCCCTAAAGCCATCGTTCATAGACCTTGTTCCCTAAAGCTCTAGGAACAAGGGATCGTTCATATCAAAAAGGGGGGGCCTTGTTCCCTCAAGGGTCGTGATGCCCCCTTTTACCGACTCACTGTGACCGGTCAGTCGCGGTCAGTCGGGGGACGTCTCGTCTGCTCGTCTCATCCGAGTCGGACGGTTTCCAACGGACCCATCCAGTCACGCGAAACAGATCGGTGGCCGAAACCGGAAACAGATCCTCACCGGATTGCTGGCTTCTCAACGACAAAACCCGAACAAAACAAGGATCTTTAAAACAAGAAAGCACGTCTCCTCAAAGCATGTCACAGGACGACCGCCCCAAGTCCGGGGCATCGGTGTCCAACGGCGGCATCAGCGCCTTCTCCACCTCCACCGAGCTTAAGGCCTCACGCCATGCTCGTCCCAACTCCTGGCGCGGTTGGTGGCGATCAGTAGGCGGCCCGTTCGCGCGTTGGTGCGCGGTGCGTGTGTGGTGGTTTTCCTGGTGCGGGTGTGAGTTGGTCCGGTGAGTACACAGGATGGATTTGGAGATGAAAAGATGTTGGTCTCAAGCAAACAGCAACCCCAAAAGCTTCACAAGGAGAAGGGATGAAGAATCATGAACAGAATGGGGTTGGATCAAACTGGAAGCCCTGGTCCACCATGTAGCGAACGACCTTCCAGGTAAGGTCCACCAGCCAAGGTATCCATAGCTATCCTGGTGCCATGACCCATAGCCAAATCATTTAAACCGGTGAGCTCCCCAAAACTTCGCTGACATCCACCCCAACAATCGCTGCCATCTCACCCCGCTGCTGGTGCAGCCCAGGCTGTGGAGGCCCTACCGATCTGCCTCCCTCCGAGTCCGGAGATTCAAGGTCGCGCTGGAACCATGGACCTGCAGGCGCATCCGATAGAGTGCTCGGATGCAGTATGGATGTCTACATGATTTGCCTTCATGAGGGATGTTCAGAACATACATGGCACTTCCTCAGAGTGTTCTTTTTTCAATATCCACGGCGTGAAACATATCCTTTAGAGTCACAGCCTTATGTTTGAGTCTGTGGATGTGTCTCTAGCTAGTTTTCTGATCTTTTTGATATTCCACGGGTGCTTATACACAAGCTCAGGGCGTTTTTTGGTAAGCCACAGGCGTTTTTTCCCGAACAACGTGTTCTTTAAGCAGATGTTTGTTTCGGTTGCGGAGTTCACAGACATAACCAAAGGTATGTTGAACTACCAACCAAAATCACAACCATGAGGTTGCAGGTGTGGAATAACAATGTCCCTCCGAAATGGCCTGAATTTTGTGGATAACTCGGTACGCCCTGAATGTCCCCATGCCAACCCCCGATCTAACTACAGTAGAGTAGATTGTATTTTACATGTCATAAGTCCATCGTGCATCTCTTGATCCTGTCATCTCGATCAAACTTCAGCCGCTGCTGCCTGGTCCTCCGCGCTCGAAAACAAAACTGGATGAAGGAACACAACATTGTCCAAACGTTTCGGAAGACCCCTTCCCAGCTGAACAAACCCAACCTGAAAACATCTCTCCCAGCACACAGCAAACCAGCTCAAGCTCCCAAAAAAGAAACATAGGAACAACCCTACGACTAACACAACCCACCGCGCCTGAACGGAGCCCACCGCACCGCGGAAGCACAGCTCCACCTGCTCCGACTGCGCAAAGATCACGTAGCAGCTACGCGCCGACTGGGCCTGCCTGGGTGGTTTCTGCAGCGCGCGGGTTCGGCCCTCATGCGGCAAAGGTTCGGCCCTCGGGCCCTCGGGGGGCTGCCAGTGGTCTGGTGGTGCGTTGACCAAGATGCAGGCTAGTTGGTCCTGCTGGTTTGCTTGCCCCATTGGTTCGTTCCAACAATCAGCCGTTGTTTCTTGCAAATTGATCGGTCAAAGTCGCGCAAAAAGAGAACACCAACCATGCGTTGTTTGTGGACCCTTCTGCCTGCAGCTTATCCGCAAAACTTGGTTGGACCGGTGTCTTTTGAACATATTTTTGTCCTCCCCTCTTAAGAACTGTTTTTGTTGCAGCACCGCAACACCACCATCAGTGGATGATGATAGATGTTACTTACGACCAATACCAATATCAAAACAAGTGTCTGATGTTTTCAATGGAAACTCTAGACTATTTTCAAACAGTTTGTTGTTTAAAAAACGCAAGATTCTGTTCTTCTACCAGTCTGTCACCGGCTTGGGTTTGGGTGATTAGTTGGGTTCCCACCTGCAGCATCCTGCAGCTGTATGCATGCCCCAAGTAGCTATCTGGCAGTGAGCATCCGACAATTTCCTCTTTCCTGAACCTCTGATATAGTACCAAGCTGCTGCAGTGCTACGCGCTGCGCCTTCTGCCGCAAAAGACGCTTCTTCGACTGCAATCATCCGGGCAAATGGACAGTGCTTGGGGATGGAATAAAGGAATATGAATGAAAATGGGAAGAGCATGGCGTGAGGCCTGAAGCTCGGTGGGAAGACCTAAAGTATCAACATTGACTCAAGCGTGTTCTCAACCTACTTGATGACTGCCGTGGGTTGGCAGTGCTCAGTGCTCAGCTGTTCTCATACGAGCTTTGGCAAATCCGACCACTCACTCAACGAAGTCCCACGAAGCTTCGCCAAGCGTTTTGCAAGTTGGCGTCACTCACACTGAGCTGCAGAAGTTCTGTGTTCCAGGATGGAAGCCATGGTAAACTGTCAAGAGTCCATTTGGTGTGTCAGATTCCGACATGCCGCTTGAGATATCTTAAGGCCACCATTGAACATGATTCCACAAAGATTGCAAGGATGGATGGATGGATGGATGGCTGTTTGTTCCCAAAGCTTCAAAATGGCGTGAATGCACTTGCGCGCTTTCCATACCACAAGTCATGACGTCTGCCGGGTTGCAACGTAGCACTTTTTTGATCTAACGGCAAATCTATAAAGGCCATTTCGTGGTGACACAGGACTCGCCGGTGCAGCGGCTCACTCTTCATCGTCTTTGACGTAGCAAAATGAGTTGGAATTCCAAGGGGTGGAGTCGGCAAGGACGCACACATTCACAATCTTGAATGACCAACCCAGGGAGAAAACTGGATCTCTAAAGCAAAGACTTTCCAACAGTACACGTTCAGACTAGAGTTCTGCGTCGTTGCAGAACGGGCTGTCGTCGTTACATCAAGTTTTGGCAAGGCTGCACCTGAAGTGATGCGACTACAAAAACCACTCAACCCAGTGAATCCACATATATCGAACATGTTCATCTTGTCAGGAAGCAGAAGTTTCGCGGACATCATGTCAGGCACTTTTGGGGTTCTTGAATAATACACATTTTTTCCTAGAGCTGTTTTGTTTCTTTCTTGATCTCCCACGTCTTGGTTTGACCACCACCATCACCGCCACCACCACAGAGGTTCCTATTGATTGGTTGTTGTTTCCTGTGGATTGCCCAAGATATTGTTTCACGTTCCTATTTCTGTGACTTTGAGCTGATCCCTTTTGTCAAACCTCCCTATAAACTAAAATCTCGAAGTAGGGTCAAAACAAATAAACAATGTTTCCAAAGGGTAATCCATAGGTGGCCTGGAATTCGTTTAGCAGCAAAACCAATGTGCTGGAAAGCGGCAGGGTAGAATCTCATTTAGAATTCCTTTGCTCCTGATAATTACCAACTCCACAGATCATGCCGTTTTCATGTGGCTTTGCTTCCTGTCCAAAAACAATTGCACCAGCATAGACCCCAGATAGCGGGTGTGTAGGTTTGTCATCTCTGCCATGACATGATGTCACAAGACAAGTCTTCTGGGCCTAGTCGTCTCGCCGACCGAACCCCACCCAGTGAGCCGAACGCCGAGCGCTTCCAAGCTCGTGCCTGGCGGAGGTCGTTTTCGGAGGCCTCCACGGCCAAGGTCGTCGAGGCCACCTACGGCCCAGCCGGACTCGGAGGAGAAGCGTTCCCTTTTTTGGGGGGGGGTTCAATGCAGAGCAGTTCGGGTTTCAATCTCTCTGGAGAGCGGAGGTTGACACCAGCCGGGAGAATACCAAGGCTTTTGCCAAAGAGCAGGTGATTCTTCTTTCATAGCATTTACATATTGCCACCTGTGGAAGGGAGCATGCAAATAGACTCATTGCTGCGTATCGGGGAGAAGGCTTCTCTGCTCACAACCTCTCCCAGTCTGTCTTCCACACATGGTTTGCTCCATGAAAAACGAGCCCTGCGGCCGTACAATTGAAATACGAGGAAAACACCGCTTTGAGTCAATGTGGCGCCTGCTCTTCCAATTCGATAAGGCTCTGCTCGTCGCTCTGAAGGACACTCTTGAGCGCTTGGCCCTCCAATGTGTTGGTGGCTGCCAGTGGAAAAAAACAAGCAAAGCACAACAAATGGGAGAGCAACGATTTGGCTCCCCGGAAATATGGGTCTGTTGCTGTGGTGAGAACATCATGGCATACATGAGAGTACATACCGAAGGCACTTTTGATGTCAAGAGAAAAAGGCGCGAACCCTTGTCTTTCAAGGGTTATGAGCCCAACGCCCGGTCTGTGAAGACCACCCGCGACTGCGGTGAGCGCAGCGCGGTTGTTGGCCGCCATGGCGATGGAACGCGCCCAGTCCTTGCCACCAGGGGACATCATGAATCCATGGTGGTCAGAGCGGCTGCAAGCTGAAGCATTGCTAAGGCACCAACGGCCTGAGGATTTGCCCATTCCTCAGGACGATGACCTGGACATGGAGGCGGTGCAGGACAATGGCGCCGCTGGCTGCTCGGGCAAAGGTCGCGGTTCAGCGACCATGGGGGGGCGGGTCTTTGCAACCCCACCGGGCCGCCGAGGTTCAGAAGGAAGAGGGCAGGGTGGCGCAAGGCAGACGGAGGGTCAGATGCCGGGGGAGTCAAGTGTGGATCCTCCTAGGGTCAAGGGGAAAACCATGGGACCACTCCCACCAAAGCATGCACCTCCACCAAAGCATGCACCACCTCCGAAGCCGGCTGATGAAGAAGCAAGCGGCCTCCAGCGGGCCCTGGAAGCTGAAATGGTAACATATCTCAGGGAGCAAGTTGAGCAGCTCTCTGAGGAAGTGTCACGACTGAGGCAGCAGCAAGCCGCCACCAAGGATCGGTCAGGTCCGACGTCGACACCATCGTCTTGGGAGACAGCTGATGGCCTGGGCACGGAGCTTCGGAAAGAGGATTTGGGTGGTCATGAATTTGATGGGTTGAAGGGTGGTGCACACACTCCTAGGGGAAGAAGTCCAACTACCAGAAGACTTCATCATGGAGAGCGCTTCACACCCAATGGCACCAAGGTCCCATCATGTCCACCACCGGATCTGCCCATGCCTCCATTCCCTATGTCCGCAGGCCCCTCAGCTGAAATTAGTGGCTCCTCGGCTGAGATTAGCCTCTTGAAGGGCTATGAAGTGCTGAATGCATGCCGACGTGGACGAGGAGACCAACAGTGGCTGCCGCTTGGCATGAGAGAAGGGAAAGTGATGCAGCCGCATGACTTTCAGGCGGCTCGGGCTGACAAGCTTGAATATGAGCTTGCGGAGCTGAAGGCTTCGCTGGGACATCAACCTGGACCGAATGCACTTGGGTCCTCAAGTTCAAAGGACATCCCATTGGGGCCATCGACTTCCTACCGTGGCGGCCCTGATTCGAGCACTACGCAAACTGGGGGTATCGGCTTGCGTGGGCATGATCATCGAGATTTTTCTTGTGGTCCTCATGGTGGGGTAGGTCATGAATTTGTACATGATACTGAATGCCCTCTTGAGCGCCGGTCTTTGGCGCAGGACTATGGCAGATGGCGGCCAGATGGCTGCCTTGGTGGCCCTGGCGGTGCAATGCCGCTCCCGTGGAATGATGGTGGTGGAAGCAAGGCGGAGTTGGCTACATTGGCCCCTGATTCATCTCCACTGGAATTGGGGGATTGGTTAGCTGTTTGCGGGCCGGTGCTCCGTGACATCTCCGCTGTGTCTGGCAGATGGTGGCATTTGACGCTCACCGAGGCACAGTGCTACTACGATCGATGGAAAACGGCTTCGCCTTTGGAGAGGGTTCAAATTACGCCTCGCCTTCCGGACGAGCTCAACGATGCTCGCTACCATCGCACCGAGCAGCGAGGTGTTAATCTTCTGCTCAAGGCCATCCTGGTGGATCAGCAGCAGTCCTTGATCACCGATCGAGAGCTCACATCCACGGCTTTGCTGTATAGGCTTCTGGTGAGGTTTCAACCTGGAGGCGCTGGAGAGAAGGCCATTCTGTTGGCCAAGCTGACCACCTTGGACAAGGCCAGCAGCATCGCTGAATGGGCGGCAGCTCTTCGCTCGTGGCGACGCCACTTCTCGCGGGCTCGCGAGATTGGTGCCATTCTTCCTGATGGCACGCTTTTGTTGAGGGCGCTGGAACCGGCGGTGATCCACATCTCGTCGCTGGATGCGCAAGCAGCTTTCAGGTTGGCTCAAAGTCGTCTTCAACTGGGAGTTGAAAAACAGCCTCATCATGATGGTGTTTGGCGGCTGAGTCAGTGTGTGTTGGCTGAAGCTGAAACCTTGTCCCTCATGTCCTCTACTCCGACAACATCAACAACGACCATCAAGGTCAAGCAGCTCGACTCCACGAGCAAGGCAGGGGTTCCGGCTGGCACCTCTTCGGACAAGGGCAAGGGCAACACCACTTCGATGTCTTCGACTCCATGCCGGTATTTCCGGTCGGATGCAGGCTGCAAAGCGGGCCGCAATTGCAAATGGTCACACTCCTGGGACGGGATTGATGACAAAGCGGCACGATGTTGGATCTGTGGTGGAAAGGACCACCGAAAGACCGAATGCAAGTTGAAGTCCCAGACCAAGAAGGACGGCAAGGGCAATGGTGAGCCGCAGTCCGGCTCAGGGGGAGGAAATGTGGCTGCAACAAAATTCAATGCGGCCAATAGCAATGCTGGTTCAAAGGGCGCTTCGACTGGTGCTGGTGGTGGGGGGAGCTCCAACTCAACCTCGGTGGTCAAGCTGCAGGAGATGGAGATGGGTTCAACCAACCAGAGTGCAAGCACTGGGGGTGAAGTTCCGCCTGTGGAAGCAGCCCTGAAAGGAGGTGAAACTGGTGCCACGTCAAGTGAAGCACTTCTTCAAGAAGCGACACAGCTGCTGAAGTCATTACGCATTCCGTCGCTCCGTGTCATCAAGGTGAGCCAGCTGGAGCATGACCCAAGTGGTGCATTGGTCCTCTTGGACTCTGGAGCGACTCACGCTCTTCGACCGGCACTATGTTGGGAGGAATGGAATCAGGCCACGCCTACTCAAGTGAGCCTGGCAGATGGAGTCACAAACAAACTCAGGTTGAAGCCTGATACCAAGGTGTTGCTCTCAGCTCCAGATGATCGTGATTCCGGTCAATCTTGGATAGTCCCACTTGGTGGCATAGCAGAGCTCGGATACAAGTTTGAATGGAAAGGAGCTCACTGCAGCCTTCGAGATGAGCATGGTAAAGTGCTGGAGGTGGTGGTGCAACACGCTTGCCCGATGGTCCATCGCTCCCTTGGCCAAGAAATGATTGATCGCCTGGAGAAGAGACAAATCAACCTCCTCAAGAAGGCGATCCTGGTGAAAACGTTGATGGAGAATCCTCACGGCAATGAGTTCCGGGCCATGTGCGATTCGCCTGAACTGGCTCTGACGGTGAAGCTGAAGTCCCTGTTCCCGGAGTTGCCGGATGAGATTTTGATGCGGGTGGTTCCTGACATGTCCCAGTTGCACACAGGCTTTGATGGCCGTCGCCTACCATGGAACAGGCGCAAACGCCGTCGTTTGGAGCGGGCAAAGAAGCTGGTGATTCATGTGTTCTCTGGCCCTGACTCCAAGTACTGGGAGAAGGTCTTGAACCAAGATGATACGGAGGTGGTGTGCATTGATCTTCAAGCGGAGATTCCCGCAGACCTCCACGACGACCAGACCTACATGTACCTCCTGGCTATGGCGGCTTCTGGCAGAGTCAAGGCCATCGTGGGCGGACCTCCATGCCGTACAGTTTCTGCCTTGAGGTATCAGGATGATGGTGGTCCTGGTGTGTTGAGGACGGAAGAGCATCCATATGGCCTGCCCTCCTTGTCATCGGCAGATTTGGAGCTGGTGCGCAATGACAGCGTGCTGCTGTTTCGGATGTTAGCCCTCTACGTGTTGTGTGAGGATGTTCGCCTTCCAGCTGAACCTCAAACAGCGCTGGCAATCGAACAACCTGAGGATCCTGCTCGCTACCGCCCTGCTGAGGAGGTGAAGGCTAAACGCTTCATGTCAATTTGGCGCACCAAAGAGTGGAACGATTTTGCAACTCGATACCAAGTGAGGTTGCTGCACTTTGATCAATGACCAATGGGCCACATCAAACGAAAACCCACGACATTGGCAGTGGTGCTCAAGGAACTGAACGTTCTGAATGAAGTCCGAGGTCCTCCAAGTGGTGTTACCCCTGAAGCCCAGCATCATGACCGTCGGGAGCTGACAATGCAGCAACGATGTGATGAATCAAAACAGTGGGCTGCCTGGGCTCCAGGTTTGAAGGTGGCCATCGTGTTGGCTTTGCAGGGATGGTTGAATCGAGGCTCAACTCCATCACTGGAAGCAGCTCTTCGGCCTTTGACTCCGGCGGCTTTGGATGGCTGGCGGCAGCACTATCTGAACGACCACATGCCGGCTCGACGCGACTGCAAGCATTGTGTCCGCGCTGCAGCAAGGAGCAAGCCTCACAAGAGAATTGTGCACCCTGAAGCCTACACCTTGAGTGTGGACCTTTCTGGCAAGATGGCTCCAGGTTTGGATCAAAGTCGGCATCAATGTCGCTACATGATGGTGGCCGTCTACACGTTCCCCGTTGATGGTAATGGTCGGCCATTAGCTGAGTTGGAGGGTGGCCGCCCTTTAGAAGGCCACATGGATCACGATCTACCTCCAGGTGATGATCTTGAGTTTCCACAGCCCAACATCGATGAAGATGACCCGGGTGATGCTTTGCTGCGTGAAGAGCCGGGTGAAGGGGCTCAGATTCCGGGGGAGGAAGCGGCGCTGCGTGCATGCCAAGCGTCTCATGAAGCATGGCATCAAATGGTGGAGGAGTCCAAGGATGTGACAGTCAAGAACTTGACTTTTGTGGAGGTCCTCCATGGAAGAGCAGTACACCACATCCTTCCTGCACTTGCTCGGGTTTACGCTCGCTTGAGGAGCTTGGGCTTGCCAATCTATCGCATTCATTGCGATCGGGCCAGAGAGCTGATCTCCGCTCCGGTCCGAAGATGGTCAACAGACCGTGGCATTGTCACCACACTGACAACTGGTGACTCCTACAAATCCAACGGCCGGGTCGAAGGTGAGTTGGGGGTGATCAAGAAGCACGTCCGCACCGTGGTGGCTTCTTCAGATCTCGGCCTGGACAAGTGGCCACTGGCGGCCATCCACATCGGTGAGCGCCGTTTGCGAGGCCAGCTTCGAAGTTTGGGCTTTCCTTCTGGTCCACTCCTGAAGTTTGGGGCGAAGGCATATGCCTTGAAGAAATCGTGGCAAGAAAGGTACCAACCCTGGCGTGAAGTGCGTGATGAGGTGACAGTACTTGGTCCAGCCATCCAGTCATCACTGACAACCACCAGCTACTACGTCCAGTCCATCGAATCACAACGGTACTTTTATACCGATGATGTGGTGGTCCCCGCGGCTGAGCAACCAGAAGCAGAGGAAGCCTTGGTTCATCTTCCGGAGCTGGGTGATTCACCTCCAAGGCCTATGTGGGAAGGTGGGGTTCCGCGTCGACGTTTGCGGGACAAAACAGCTGTGCCACAACTTTCCATGTTGCACATGGAGGGGGAGGGAGTTGCAGCTGCCTGGATGAATACATGGCTCGTTGTCCATCGAGACCAATTTGATGCGATTGCTCCCAATGCTCCGTGTCTCTTTTCTTTGGAAGTTAGCAGTGACAGTTGGACGCTGGAAACGCCCGAGAGGACATCGTCCGAGGAGACTGAGTCTCAAGGGGGTTCAAGCGACTGTGTCATGGAGGTGGACGGGTTAGGAGGTGGGGAGAAGGAGGAGGCGCCAAACAACCAGGATGGTGGCTCACGCCTGGTGGCCTCAAATCAAAGACCCCTTGGGAACTCGCCTCCTCAGAAGATCCAACTGCTACGGTCACTGCAGGCAAATTTGGCATCCTATGTGGCGGAGGAGATGGAGCACGTGGACGTCTCGAACCCAGAACAAGGCTGCTATATGGACATCCTCACCCAAGCCATCATGCAGAAGGTGGAAGTGGAGGAGTTGCTGCTGCAAAGTGATCATGATCAGGAGGTGGTTAAAGGTCAAGAAATAGAAGAAGAATTCCTGGTCACCAAAACGATCAGCAGCAAGGAAGTGTGGGAAGACTTTGAGAATTGGGTTCCATCCATTACTGCTGAATACGACCAGCTGGTCAAGACCAAGGAGGCAGTCGAGCAGATCACCAAGCAAAGCCTTCGTGAACGTGCAGAAGCTCAAGGCAAGGTGATCGAGATCTTGCCTGCAAAAATGGTGTATACCCGCAAAGCAACTTCAGGCGCCAGAAGAGCACGTGCAGTCTGTTGCGGGAACTACTCTGACTCCAGGTTCAGTGGTGACTGCTATGCTGGTGGCGCCGACGGGTGTCAAGTCAGAGCTTTGGTTCGTACGGCTGCCATCAAAGGGTGGAACCTAGCGGCTACAGACATCAGAGTCGCTTTCTTGAACGCCCCAAGAAGAGATGATGGAAAGCTAGTGGCCATGGAAATCCCGAGTGTGTACAAGCGCTTGGGCCTGGCACGTGAAGGTGAAGTTTGGTTGGTCCAACTGGCCATGTACGGCCTAACTACTTCCCCACGGGATTGGTCGCAGCATCGGGATCGCACTTTGCCTGCGGTCAACTGGGTTCGAGTGAGAGAAGCAAACAACCAAGCAAAGAAGGTCAGAGGCCGCCTCATCAAGACAGAGGATGAGAACCTATGGCGACTGGAAGAAGCTGACACTGAGACGGGGGAGGTGCACTGGACTGGCCTGATGTCGATCTATGTGGATGACATCCTCATCTCAGGGGAAGAAGAAACAGTGGCTGCAGCCTTGCAATCTCTGCAGGCGACCTGGACCACATCAAGTATAGAGTGGGCCTCATCGACATCGGCGGTTCACTATTGTGGCTTCGAGATCACCGCGGATGAAGCAGGCAATGGCTTCCACTTGTCCCAGAGCAAGTACGAGCAGGAGATTTTGGCTCGCTGGAACGTCAAGGAGTCGACATCCTTCCCGAATTTCAAGGTCAGTGAAGCGGACCTCGAGCCTCCGGATCAGGTGGACAAGAACCAGATCAGAGAAGCGCAGGCTCTGGCTGGATCATTGCTTTGGTTATCTACCAGGTCAAGACCGGATTTGGCCTATGGGGTAGCGGCATTGAGCAGAATGGTCACTCGAAATCCAGCAAGATCCATTGAGATTGCTCACTCCCTCCTGGCCTATGTGAAGGGCGTGCCGGGCGACTTGCACTACCCTCGCTGGATTGAAGAAACATGGGGGTCGAGAAGCCAGTTGAAGGTCCAGCGCCACAACAAGCTGTTAGAAGTTTTTGCCGACATTGCTTACGGCACTGGGGCCAATCACCGAAGTGTTCAAGGTTTGGTGATTTGTTTTGGAGGCGCACCCATTGCATGGCAAAGTGGAGCACAACCTTTCGTCACCCATTCCACAGCAGAAGCAGAGCTGGTTTCCTATTGTGAAGGTCTTTGCACCGGCCGAGCCACGGAAGCTTTGCTATGTGCCATGTGGGGGGAGCCGCTCACGAAGGCTAACCCGTTTGAGAGGGTGATTTATGGGGACAATGCAGCAGCCATCAGTCTCGCCCATGGCAACAGCGCCACATCCTGGAGAACAAGACACTTGCGTGTCCGTGCCAACATCCTCAAGGAGGCCATTGATGAAGGTGGCAACTACCCAGGGGGTGTGTGGAAGCTGTCTCACTTGAAGGGGACGGAGCTGGTCGCTGATGGTATGACGAAACCTCTCCTCGGCCAGAGCTTTGCTGGCTTCCTGGGAGATTTGGGCATGAAGGCACCTGAACCGAAGATGGCGAAGATGAATCCTGGCCATCAAGGACCTCTTTCAAGCGTCGGCCAACAAACGGCTTTGAAGGCGGTGCTGGCTGGAGGCGCCCTGGTCCGAGCGGCTGAAGCGCATGGTGGTGGAGGTGATGATCCCGACCCACTCTTCGGGAACCTATGGATCTGCGGCATAGTGCTGATCCTCATCGGGGCAATCTGGGTGAGTAAGGCAGCTTTCATGTCTTTGAGATGCTGTTTGAAGAGATTGCATGGAGTTGTCAGCAGGCCACCGGTCCAAGAGGAGCTGTATGAGAGTGAGGAGGAGAATAGGACTACACCACAGCGACCAAGGCGACAGAGGATGGAGGAGCAGCAACTTGTGGCACATGAAGATGAGTCTGCCACATCGACTGAGGAGGAGGAGACAGAAATGTGTGAAAGGCCTCAACGTCAAGGGGTGAGCAACCGAGAACAAACTATGACACGGAGGAGGTCTTTGTCCAAGCCTACAAGCAGGCGATCGGGCTCGGCGTGCGGGTCTTCATCGAGAACGATGAGAAGGTGCTCAAGCGGCCCAGAGAGAGCTGCGGCAAGAGCGGCTGGTCAAGCAGCTGAAGGCGCGGAACGTGCGGCTGAATCTGCGCAGCTGGCAGCGGATGCGGCTACTCAAGCTGCTGAAAGTGCTGAAGCAGCCACGCAAGCGCTTCGAGCGCTGGCCAAGCCGAAGGCGGTGGCGATCCAAAGGATCGATGTCAGTGGTCCTCAAAATCCATGGAACCGCTTTCAACAGCTCCACGCAAGACGGGGCTGGAGCATGCAGCAAATGCGTGCGGAATACTACAAGGAGAAGTGCCAAAAGTAAAGTGCCTTGAGCTGGCCCTCCTTTTTCCCGATTTTTCGCACCAAGCGAAAAGGGGGAGTCTGTTGCTGTGGTGAGAACATCATGGCATACATGAGAGTACATACCGAAGGCACTTTTGATGTCAAGAGAAAAAGGCGCGAACCCTTGTCTTTCAAGATGGGAATTGGCTGGCGATTTGCCTTGGAAACAGCGGGGAGAAGAACAAAACAGGCTCACGCTCCAAGGGACCCGCCTGAAAGCTGAAGCAAACTATATCAATATGATCCGGGAAGAGCAAAACTTTGAATGCTCAAATCATGTCACAAGAATCGCAAGTTGACAAACAACCCACCACTGACTTCTGCTCGATACAGTATACCACTGATCATATGATTGTGTCTAGAGGAAGCTCTACAGGAAACCTTTACTTGGAGGAGGGACATGGGGGACATGTATCTTTTTGTGCAGAACAACTCGTTTTGAACTGAAGGTCTGGGTCTGTGCCTTCTGCTCCATAAGCTGCTGGTCCTCTTCAGCCTCCTTGATCACCTGCGATCAACTTAACAAGTTCTTGGGACACATGCATTATCATACAACATCTATTTGTTTCTGGTTTGGGCAGGGGGGTTCCAGGCACGTCAGATGTGGAACAGCATGGTCTGTTGCTTCCTGGGTGGATCGATCCAGTGTCTTCGTCCACGGTGCCCGGAACGTTGTTGATCGTTCAAACCAACACAGACCTGACAGAGCAAATGGACATGCACCTTCCAACGCCTTGTGGCCAATGAACTCATACGTCGAATCACGAATCCACACAGAAACATTTCAGAACGGCCACAAGTACGTCACCACCCAGAAGTTCTTCTCACGGGATGCAGGACCCGGTCAATGACATCCTGCGAGACGAGCTCCGAACCGGGGTGTAGAAGTCCCAAATAAGGCAAGTGATGCAATGTTGCTTCTGATGTCGTTTTGGAGCAAAGGACAAATGAAGCGTTGGGTCAATCAGAATACCCCCTCCGTTCGTTTAAAAAAACGACATCCCCCCCTAATTTCTGAGGAAACGACAACGAAATCAACCCCCGTGAACACTTCCAGAAAAAACAACTCTCACACAACACCGCGAAACACATCAACACTTTGATTGTTAAGGCAGAAACAAATTGAACTTAGCTAAAACATGATCAACCCGCCGCCCCACGGTTTCCCGCATTTCGCAGCAAAAGCAGCCGACGTCACGTCGACCGTCGCACTGAACGGGGCGTCCGGGCGTCACCTGGTCGCGCATCTCACGGAAGCGCTCCGCCGAGCTGTTGAGATCGCTCCTGCTGCGGCGCAGTTCTCGACTCCGAGAAGTTCTCAGTTTCCAGCCGAGACGCTGGCGAATGGACCTGGGACCTGGGAGGGTGTGGAGTTTGGGGCGTCTTTAATTTAGATCCAACACATGAACTATATCAATATGATGTATATATATATAATCATACATATATATATAATTATATATGTACACATCAGAAGATCAGCAGAATTGAGATCCTGCAGAGGAGACCAAGCAAGTTGTGCCGATAACAGTGTGAGATCGGTGCAAGGAGGAACGCGTAGGAAGGACCAACAGTCAAAAGATTGATGTCAAAATGGTCGGATCTGACCAGCCAACAAGACGAACTCAGCACAAACGAAACGTTTAGGTTGGACATGGGCAAAATCATGCCAAATCCACAGATGTTGGGTCATTGTTCAACCAAACACTGCAAGCCCTCATGTCATGTCCATGATTTTCCACGTCCATGATGTTCTACGTCCATGATCGACCCTATCCTGTGATGTTGATGTCGTTGCATCGCCTTGCTTCGCACCAAAGGCTCCTGCAAACATCGGCTGGCCTGGCGCAGGCGCTTGCTGCACAGGCGCTCGCTGCGTCCCCCATGGTGAAAAGGGGCGAAAGAATCAGCCGTTTGAAGGAGCCCTAGATGCGCTTTGAAAGAAAACACACGGCCCTCGAGAGCAGAAAAATGATGATGATGAGGAGGAGGACGATGATGATGATGAGGATGAGGATGATGATGAGGATGGTGATGATGAGGATGATGAGGATGAGGATGAGGATGAGGATGAGGATGAGGATGAGGATGAGGATGAGGATGAGGATGAGGATGAAGATGAAGATGAAGATGAAGATGAAGATGATGATGATGATGATGATGATGATGATGATGATGATGATGATGA